CTGCCTCAGCCTCCCAAGTAGCTGGGACCACAGGCGCCTGCCACAACGCCTGGCTATTTTTTTGGTTGCAGCCGTCATTGTTGTTTTTGGTGGGCCTGGGCTGGATTCGAACCTGCCACCTTAGGTGTATGTGGCTCATGCCTTAGCCACTTGAGCCACAGGTGCTGAGCCCTTCTTCCAAATCTTAAACAGAACTCCAGGGTGTCAAACAGAGAAAGTGGAGGGGTTCCTTTGGTTAATTCTCGGGTGCAGGGCAGGTGATGCCCTGATGGTCCCTAAGAGATTTCTTCCTCAAAGCCCCATCTGACCACCTGTGCGTTGGCACAGCCCCTTGGTGCTGCAGTGGAGGAAAAAGCCTTGGCCTCTGGGCCAAGGTCACACAGCAAGTCTGAGGGGAGCCCCTTTGGTTAGCAGAGTTCAACTGCTGAGAGAGAAGGACATAGGATGCTGTGGCCAGGGAGGTACTGGGAGAGGCCAGAGCATGGAATCAGAGATGGGATGGAGGAGTTGAGGATAGAGTTGAAGTGGGAACAAGGCAAGGAAAGGCATATGGTGGGCAGGTGGGTGATTCCCAATGAAGCACCTCCAGAGATACATTCTGCACAGTTGAAATACTGCATGGGTCATGCTTACACTAAACATGATTCCATTTTATCTGAAATTCAAGTTTAACTCATCATCCTGTATTTTTTCTGGCAACTTGCCTCTAGCCTTTCTTCTTCCCTGCCCCACAGTCTATATCTTTCCACAGGGTCCCACTGGATGAGCCTAAGACAGTGGTGGTTTGAGCTCCCTGATTGAGTAATTCTGACCTAGTAGTGGAATGAGTGCCCAGACAGTCTGAGGGGCAGCCTGGCAGTAGTTAGTCACTTTGGTCTGTGGTCTGTCGGCCCTCCCTGAGGGCCCACGAGCTAGAGAGACTACCAGACGCTATCCTCTCAGATGTTCTAGGGGGGCAGGGCCACTCCTTAGAGCTTCTGCTGGGAAGAGCCTAACATTCCAGCCCTGTCCCAGTGCTGGTTCCAGCAACAGCAGAGACTATGGGACCAGAACCTTCTCTCCTATGGAGAAAGGGCTGGGTGTTCAAGGTGAGGAGAGTCAGCTACAAGGCAAAGGTGGGTAAAACAACTCTTCAACCTCTCCAAGGTCTTCTAAGAGCCTGGGCTCATTTGGGGAGCCTCTTGAGGGTGTAGATTCATCCCCATGTCCAGCATGTAGGACAGTACTAGGCACAACATACATGCTTTTAACTGTGGGGCTGAATTTTGGTTTTAGGATTACCCTTTATGGAAGAGCTCCTTTATTTATGCCCATTTTATAGGTGGAGAAACTGAGGCAGAGAGGGCTCAGTGATTTGACTAAGATCAAGGAGATCCTCAGGTACAAAGGATGGTGAGACAACTCCAGTTGCTCAGTACTAGGCACATCCTTATGCTAGTCAGAGGTCTGTGTGGCACTGGGCCCTCTGACCCACGATTTCCCTATTCAGTGACTGTGGAAGGGCTCTTTCTGTGTTGAGCCCCACCAGGAGGGGATAGGGGTCTCTGGGAGAATATTCCTTTCTCAGAGAAGGGCTTGGCCAGGGGATAATGTCAGCTTCTCACCTCTCTTGCCCTCATCCTACTTCAATAAGACACAAGCTCCATTTCTGAGGCATTACCCCGCACATACTCTGATCAGAGCTGCTTTGATGCCTTTTAAAAAATTATTATTACATCAATGAGAGAAAGAAACTTTGGGAAACAACTCTCCTCTCAGCATTAAAGTCCACAGAATATCAATTAGAACTTAGTGATGGAAAGACTAGGCATTACTGTGATGGGGACAGGAGCCCCCCACCCTGCCTCAGCCTCTGAGGCCAGTCGTCCCAGTTGTAAAGGGGAAGCTGGACAATATGACCTCTGAAGCTTCTTCCAGCTTGCCCCTCCATGTTCCACATCCCCAGGTAGACTGGGTACTTCTGGTCTTCTCTTGCACTGTGCTTGAGAGGTGAGAGTATCCCAGTGGGGAGGGAGGCAACCCAGTCTGGAAGACCTGAGTTCAAGTTCCTTCTGCTGATAGGATGCTGTGTGGCCTTAAGCAAGGTCCCTCCTTCTCTGGGCCTCATCTTGTCATCTTTCTACAGTGGAGCTATCAGTAACCTCAAAAGGCTGTCATGCTGCTATAAAGGCGACAGGAGATCAAGGCTGGGGAGGACACTGCACCTATTGGGGGAACGCCCAAAAGGAGTGCATCAGACAGCTTTGGCAGGAAAATAAAGACAAATCTGAACAAGATGTAAGCATCTAGGGCAGGTCTTCTTGGACCAAATATAGTTAAATATTTGGGACATAGTTTCCATTAGATTTTTTTGTCTTTGCATAAGAGCAGCTATTTATCCAAGTCCCCAAAGCAGGCTGGGGACAAGAAGCTGTCTGTGATTCATGCTGGATCTTAGTGGTCTTGGAATGTGTCCAGGCCTGGCTTGGCTGCCAGTGGCCCTCAGAGAGAAGTGTTTGACTGTAAATTCAGCCAGGGTTGGAGGGGGGGGTTATCCTTCTCATAGCAGATGCTGCCAGGAAGACAGAAAGCATCTTGGTTCTGCCAAGAGGGGTCTTTTGTAAGGTCGCTTAGGTCAAGAGACACCCAGGGAAAGGTGAATACCAAAGATACTCACATATGTGGGCCCAATGGTACAGGCAGAGGTTGAGGGTAGGGAGAATGATGACCAGTGTGGCACTGAGTTCCTCTTTGCATGCCTGGTCACTTGCTTGCTGCTTTCTAAGGTCTGAGGTTGTGACAACTAAAAAAAAAAAGAAGTAACAATTCATGAAGCTCAAATAAGGTTAATAGCTTAGTTGATAATATAGTACCAATGTCAACTTCTTTGTTTTGGTCATTGTGCTGTGGTTATGTAAGGTGGTAACACAGGGGAAGCTGGGTGAAGAGTACATAGGAACTCGGCATTATTTTGCAACTTCTATGTGAATCTAAAATCATTTCGAAACAAAATGATTATGAACCTGCCGTGCTAACATGGAGTACCGCAGTCCCCGTTGTCCTTTACCAGGTACTTGTAGTGGCCCAGGTCCCAAGTCCAGAGGGCCTATCCTATACGGTCCTGACAGAGCCCTGGGAGAAAAGGCTATGAAATGAGTTAACGTAGGGACATGCGTTTAGCACAACACCTGGCACAAAGTAAAGGCTTGGAAACTGTTAGCCTATGTCATCATAGTATTCCCATTTTAAAATGAAGAAATGTCTCAGAGGGCTGGAATGATCCAGCCAAGTCACGTAGCTAAAAAGCAGCTGAAGTTGGATTTGATTCCATATCTCCAACTTAAAACTTTATTATTATTATTTTAAGAAATGAGGTCTTACTCTGTTGCTGAGACTAGAGTAGGCTAGAGTGGAGGGGCACAATCATAGGTCACCACAGCCTTGAGCTCCAGAACTCAAGCAATCCTCCTGCCTCAGCCTCCCAAGCAGCTGGGACTACAGGCACACACCACCATGCCTAACTAATATTTAAATTTTTTGTAGAGATGGTGTCTCACTATGTTGCCTAGGATGGTCTCAAACTCCTGGCCTTAAGCAGTCCCCCCACTTCAGCCTCCCATAGTGCTGAGATTACAGGCATGAATCACTGGACCCTGCCCCAACTTAAAACTGTTGACTACCCTAGACTCCTCTGCTGTCATGCTATCAAGGATTATTTGTAAAACCTTCTTGGAATGCTGCCTCCATTGTGTTATATGCTTCTCTTTGCCCTTATCTCGTCCCCCACTAGGGAGAGGAGGATTGTTGTTGGGAGTTTCCTGCCAGCCAGGTACTGTGGTCAGAAGGGAAGAGGGTAGTAGAGAAGCTTAGGGTTTGGGGATAGAGGGTCTGGCAATGCAGCTCCTGAGCCTGTGCTGCCAACGAGACCCATGGGCCATATGTGCCATCCTGTCATCTTTGCACATCACCCAGAACACAGTCCTGTCCCCCTAGGCACGTTCTCTGTGTGATTGTTGACACTCTGAGCCCAGCAGGTAGAGTACCAGTTCCTTGATGTTCTGCCCATATCTTCCATGTGGGTGAGAACCAAGGACTTTACAGGGATCCCAGTTCAGCCAACCCAAGAGCAGCTCCTGGGGGTCCCCCAAATCCACACAAGGGAGTCTCAAACTGAGACTCAGTTCACTACATCTGACCTGTTGATCTTCTGTGTTACAGAGGACACCTACAGCTCTGAAGAGACCGTGGACCACCAGCCTGTTCACCTGAGGGTCATGGACACTGCAGACCTGGTAACATTACCCCTATCTCCATGGAGAGCTGAGAATCAGTATAGCCTCCTAAGAAGTCCCAGCCCAGAGTGGGGGGCCTCACATGGGAATTTGGATCCTTTTTAAATTCCATTTTGCGGTGTGAACCTGAACGAAGTACTGACCTCTCTGAGCCTGAATCCTTCATTTGCCAAATAAGAAAGATGAAATAGGCTGAGAGGCCTGAGGGTTGCCAGCATCAGCTCTGAGATCCTAGGCAATGGAGAGTTATCCTCACGCGTACATGGAGAGAGGTCCACACCTGTTACATAGACACTCCTGGTGAGAACTCCTCACCCAAGCCCCCTCAAATGCACACTTCTCCCCTGATGTCTCCATCGCCCCTGCTAAGGCCAGATGCTAGTTATTCTCTCAAGTCAAAGAAGCAGCTAGAACCTGACCTGAAACTAGGGGTACCCAGGGACAGCCAGGTCTCTGCAGGGACCATGCCAGAGTCTTTGGCTCTGTGCCCAAGGGGCCAAGGTCTCCAAGTCCCGGGCTGGGTAGTGGGAGGGAGGTTCATGAGACAATGTGTCCTTTCACACCAAGCCAAATCCACACTCAAGTGCCCCTTTGAAACGAGCTCTTCTAGGGAACAATATACAAAGACCCAGGGATTGGGGAGGTGGAACAGGGCAGCTCAGGTGAAGACCTTTACCCTGACCTCCTCTGCCTCTGAGAGGGCTTCTCTCCACCCCAGGACATCCCTAGGAACTCTGAGCGCTACCTGAACTGGGCCCACACCTTCCTGGTGGTGTACAGCGTCGACAGCCGCCAGAGCTTCGAGAGCAGCAGCGGCTACCTGGAGCTGCTTGCTCTGCATGCGAAGGAGACACAGCGCAGCTACCCTGCCCTGCTGCTGGGCAACAAGCTGGACATGGCCCAGTACAGGTGAGGTGGCAGTTTGGTCCTCATCTTCACAGCTGACTTTCCCCATTTGTAAAGGCAAGGTAGCATCTTCAAGGATTAGCCACTAAAGACAAATCTAAATTGGTACCTCCAGTTTAGATAAGAGATATTGTGTTATAAGAATCCAGGGAGCATTAGTCTTCCAGGTACCCAAGGACAGGAAGGGCAGGGCATCAGGGGCTGGACACTGAATGTCAGAAGATAAGCTACTCCTGTCACCTTCTTGGGTCTCTCCCAGGCTCACCCTTTCTTGCCTGAGTCTTTGTGACCTTCCAGTTCCACTCCCAGCAGCTGAGGGTCAATCAATGCGGGTTCCAACTTTAGGGAGAGGCTTTGATTGGCTCCTTGTGTCAGGTGTCTGCTGTGGTCCAACCAGCTCTGGCCTTAGCCGAGCTCAGCCCCGCTCCAGGCTCACTCCCACAGTTTGCTGTGCTGAGGGCAGGTTCTCTTAGGAAGGGTTTGTTGCCATGCAAGTCTTGGCACAAAAAAGTAAAAGAAAGGGTTGGACTTGAATTAGAGGTCACAGACTGGGCCAGAGGGCACATTACCACAGAATGCTATAGCTGTATTTTGCTTGGCCTGCACGGTGTTTTAAAAGACCAGGAATTGGAATGCTTTGAGGTAGGGCGTATTCTCTCCAGCTGACCGCAGGCCTCCCCACACCCCTTGGTTTACCTCCATCCTCTCCACACATTTGAGTTGCCTGTCTGGCCCTGAGGCATTGAGACTATGCGGCCTGTACCTGATGAGTAATCCTACTGGATTTCTCCAACATTGACATTTGTCCTATGTAGCCAGTCTGCCTGCAAGGTATGGCACCTTTCACCAGCCTTCCAACCTGGCCGCTCAGTCCTGCTTCTCCAGGTTCCAAAAGCACACTGACTGGTGTTTGTTCTGAACAGGTCAGATGGGCAGTGAGACGTGGGTTCACGAAGAGGGACCACAGTAAGGGGCCCTCTCAGCCCTCAAACCCAGGCAAATTGCATGTCAGGGGATAAGGGAAATCGTATAATTGTAAAACCACTAAAGGTAGTCTTTCAGGAATAACAGACCCTGGAAGAGGGCTCAGAGGGTCAGAAGACTGGATTGTGGCAGTTTGAGGTTGCAGAGAACTATGATGCCACCACTGTACTCTAGGCCAGATGTCAGAGCAAGACTGTCTCAAAAAAAAAAAAAAAAAAAAGACTGGATTGTGAACAGGCTGGTTTTCAGTATGAGAAAAAAACACTAGGCCACTGTTTTAGCCCCCATAGGGGTTGTCCGCAAATGATTTGAGAACAAATGACAAAGAATACATGACTGAAATGAAGTAGCATCAGTTCCCTAAGAACAAGTTATGACAATTTACCCCCCTTTTCATTCTTTGGTCAAGTCCCAAGTTTGGTAGATTAGGATTTGGTAAGCACAGTAAATCAGACTTTGAGCTGAGCACTGGTCGTTGTCTCCCATGACTGTCTTTACAGCTAAAAGGATAAAATGTGGATTAGGGCTGTGCTTCCCAAACTACTGATAAAACTTTTACTGGAAGTTTGAGACCAGCCTGAGCAACCTTGCCTCTACAAAAAATTTTTAAAATTAGCTGGGTATAGTGGAGGGCTTGTAGTTCTTGGTATTCAGGAGACTGAGGAAGGAGGATTCCTGCAGCACGGGAGTTTGAGGCTGCAGCGACCTATGGTGACACTACTGCACTCGACCCTAGGCAACAGAATGAGAGTGAGACCATGTCTCAAAAGAAAAAAATTTCATTAGAATGCAAAAAAATGAGACAAAGCCAGCCTGAACAAGAGTCAGACCCCATCTCTTTTAAAAATAACAAAACTAGTTAGGTGTGATGGTGCATGCCTGTAGTCCCAGCTACTTGGGAGGCTGAAGCAGGAAGATTGCTCGAGCCCAGGAGTTTGAGGTTGCTGTGAGCTAGGGTGATACCATGGGCAACAGAGTGAGACTCTGTCTCAAAAAGGGGGGGGGGAGGGGCAATGTTATCTGTCAGTGTTGCCAACTCACACACCTGAATGCACGTATCAGATTCTTGTTTCTGAAAATTCATTATTCAAGCCCCACAATATCAAAGTTGCAGATTCAAGCCCATCATAAAAGCAAATATTCATAAAACCAAGTATTCTTTCAAAAGTGCTTTCTTGGGAATCAGTGAGCTTATAGACAGATGGCAGTACTAGGTGGGGAATGGCCTAGATGCTAACCACTGGCCCTTTTTGTCCTAGTCACCCTGTCCCTCTGATACCCACCCACTTCTTGGAGCAATACCCTGGGCAGCCAATCCACTCCCAGCCCCTGCTCCTGCCACATTGACCTTGGCTCAGAAACCTTTTCCCACCACTGCCCACTCTAGTGTCCTCTCTCATCTCATGGTCTGTGCCATCATCCCCAGATATGATAGATAGCGCAGTTTGGCAGTAGGTCAGGAGGATTCAGGCAGTGGACTTGGCCCTAAAACCTCAGGGGCCCCAGCCAGACATCTGACCTGCTCAAGACCAATCTTCTCTTTCTCCCACCTTGATTCCTATGACTCTCAGGTCAGAAGTTTTCAGTACCTCTTCAGTTTCAGATCTTCTATCCTTCCGCACAGGAGGTGGTATAGGAGCAAGCTAGCATAGCTGTTGCTCTCCTTTTCTCCCTGTTTCTCCCTCCTTTTCTCCCTCCTCACTATGAAATGTTGTCAGCTCCTGGGCAGGCAGACAAAACTCCCCACGAGCCCTGAAGCTCTGCCAACCACAGGCCTCCAGAGTCACCTCTGAGATCTAACACCCTTCAGCCCAAACAACTGCTTCTCTCTAGAGCTGATCCCACAAGCCAGGGCTGTGAGTGGTCCATTTCCTGCCCCAGGGACCCATGTTGAGAGGAGAAGTGGGGCTGGGAATGGCTTTCTTTCTCTGGTCACAGACAGGATCTCACATGCAGGACCAGTTTCTCTCTTACTGTCATCCTCATCCCTTAATTCTGGCTTTTGTGACATTGGCCACCATTTATCAAGCACTGAATCTGTGCCAGGTACTGTGCTGAGCACTTGACACAAATTGTCTGAATCTTGACACCCCAAAAGGCAGATGTCATCATCCCATTGTACTGATGGGATAACAGACTCAGAGAGATGAAGATGGCCCCGATCACCCACCAGTACATGGGGGGCTGGGTGCAGAAGCAGGTCTGCCTAACTTGGAACAGCATGTGCCTAACTCTCTGCCCTGCCCTGCTTCTCTGCCAGGCAAGTCACCAAAGCAGAGGGTGCGGCTTTGGCAGGCAGATTCGGGTGCCTGTTTTTCGAGGTCTCTGCCTGCTTGGACTTTGAGCACGTGCAGCACGTCTTCCACGAGGCAGTGCGAGAGGCGCGACGGGAGCTGGAGAAGAGCCCCCTGGCCCGACCCCTTTTCATTTCTGAGGAGAGAGCCATGTCCCACCAGGCCCCACTCACCGCCCGGCATGGGCTGGCCAGCTGCACCTTCAACACACTTTCCACTGTCAGCCTGAAGGAGATGCCCCCCGTAGCCCAGGCTAAGCTGGTCACTGTGAAGTCATCCCGGGCCCAGAGCAAGCGCAAGGCACCCACCTTGACCTTATTGAAGGGCTTCAAGATCTTCTGAGGGCCCCTCTTCAGGAATCTCAGGCTCAACAGCTGGGCAGGGCTGTAGAACAGGGGCTAGGTTGTCACCACCTGCCTTTCCCTCTGATGCACTGATTGCCCTCACCCTCTGGAGGACAGCTGACCCCACCTCCAGCACTAAGCAGTGTCCCTATACTTAATGCACTGTGTGAGCTAGAGGGACAGACAGGGATGTTGCTCCTATTCCCCGGGCCTTGTTCTCCATGGTAACCACCTGCATCTGCGACCCTGGAAGGAAAACAGGCACTGCAACGACTCAGAGACCTGGGGACAGCCTTAAGCAGGAAGAAATTGCAAGGTCCATCCTGCTGCCATCACCCTTCCTGCCCCAGCTACAGCTGGGCCAGCTGCGGCACTTAAAGGGTGGTCTGGGTGAAGAACTCCCAGGGGCCCTCTCAATGTGCGGTCCTGAGAACACCGGCGGGAGCGACAGCCCTGAGGTCCTCGTGCCACCTGGTCGAGGGGAAAGGCAGGGCGGCTGCAGGTTTCAGAGGCTGAAGTCGGCCTTCTGAGCCCCAGGCAGGAATCTTCAGGGTTTACCCATGAAAATCTAGTCAAAGTAACCCAATGGCACAACCTCAGTGGGCCAAAGAAGTCCCAGGAAAGTGTATTTCTGGAAGTTTGGCTCTTAATGAGGGCAGAAGGATAGGCAAGGGCTGTGGGTTGTGGTTTTCCAGTGTAGAGAACCTATAGCATTTTTTCACCAGCAGGCAGGGTCCCCTTGTTTTCCTACCATTAAGGACTCTACACAGACCCTTGGAACCAGACTCCTCAAGTTTAATGAGAAAGGCTACAGACCAGAGTTGTTCTCTCCAGTGACAATTACCCAGGGCTCCTGGGTTGATCAGATGCATCCAGTGGCACTCACAGGGAGAAACACCTGTTTGTAGTTGGGTTTGGCAGGACCCAGTACTTCAGCAGTGGGTCTGAGTGTTCAAAGCCCACTTATGTAAGATAGGAACTAAAGCATTTTCAGCTAAGAAAGCAAATTTTTTGCATAAATTATTTGGTGATATTACCACAGCTTATATCAGAATACCATGGCTGAGACATGGGATCAGGACACTCCTTTGGAATCCCACTGTTAGCAAGAAAGGGCTCTCAGAGGCAGGCAGCATAATCATTTTCCAACATTGTTTTCCACAGACTAGGTCCAAAGGAAGTCTTTCATAGACCCTTAGCAGAAGAGGGCTCTTAGAGGTGGGAGCCTGTAAAGGGGAGACTGAACCCAGAATCCTCTTTCTTCCCCTCTCAGCAGTCTCAGGAGCTAGGACTAAAAATAGTGTCTCTGGCTGGGCATGGTGGCTCACACCTATAATCTCAGTGCTTTAGGAGGCCAAGGGAGGAAGATTGCTTGAGGCCAGGAGTTCAAGACCTGCTTAAGTAACACAGGAAGACTGTCTCTGCTGGCCTGCTGGGAGTGGTGATACACACAGGTAGTCCCAGGTACTCTGGACGCTGAGACAGGAGGATCACTTGAGCCCAGGAAGGTTACAGTGAACTGTGATCAGGCCAAGGCACTCCAGCCTGGGCAACAAAGAGAGACCCTATCTCTAAAAACAAGAAAGATAAAAAGAAAATAGCATCTCTAACTCAGTTTTCAGCCTCATTCCCTGAATGGAGAAGCTGAGGGCAGAGGGGAGCTGTGAGCTACTCAATACCACCTGCTGAGAGTCCTCACCCACAAGCTGGTGATGGGTTTTGCACTTTTGCTCCAAGCTCCAACACTTGGGTGTGTTTATGTGTGGACCATGACCATTTGAAAAAACTATGCAATTCCAACAGGACATTTCCTGAAGCATTTTAATAAATTTTTTTTAAATAATAGAATTTTAGTTTGCTTGTAATTTATTTATTGTATCTGCTAATTAAAAAAAAATAGGCTGTAAAACCTGAGAGCTTTCAGGCCACTAAGCTGAGCTCAGATCATGTGCCTGGCTTGGGGGGAATGGTGCTCTGAACTCTCAATAGATCTCAGACTCTGACGCATGTGGAAGGAGAACCAATGAGACATCTCTCTCTTTTAACTCATTTTCCACCTTAGCCCAGTCTAGTTTTTCTGAAAGCAAAGTCTCACTTGGGTTGGTTAGTTTGTTGTGATCCTTGATTCTGGCTTCACCCAAATATAGGACTTCTGGAGTTTCTTTTTCTGGTGGCTGCATCTTTTGCTTTCTGGGAACAGAAGGAACAGTGTTCATTAGAAGGCCTGAGTGACTGGGGCAGGACGTTGGAGGGGAAAATCCTACCCATAGTTTGGGAGCTGCTGGGGGACAAGTGGCAATGGTTGGATATTCCTTTGGCAAAAAAACAGTTCACACTTGCATGGGTGTCGCCTCAGTAAGGAATCCTTGTTGCCTCTGTGAGCTCAGGTATTACTAGTGCCCCTCCCGTTACAGGTGAGGAAATATGGGCCAGATGCCAAAGAAGCACATACCTGGGATGTGCACTTAAGTTTCCTGCCTCTGAGTCCTGTGTCCTTTTACCAAACCACACCATTTATGGCTCCAGGATGTTCATCCTACCTAGTATAAGTCTTTGTCACTCCACACCTGTCCCTCACAGGACTTCAGGAAATCTCTAACTATTCTCCCTGTCTCTAGGTGCCTCCTTCTCTAGACCAGCCTACACATGACACCAGTCATGTTTCTAAAACCCATCATGTATGCATCACCCCACCCCACCTTCACTGGCTCCCACTGCCCATTTCTGCAACCTGGGATTCCTACCATTAACTTCTGCAAATCTATCCACTCTCCAAGTTGGTGTTACTCAGAGGATCTCTAGACTTCCTGGTCACAGTAGAAGGACACAGCCACGGTAAGCTGACTGTCCAGAGAATCGGTGTGGGCCAGAGAACTGCAGGTCTGCTCTCATGGGCAGCCACTTTGTCTCTGAGTTGACCTTGCTGAGTGGAATGCTTCCTGACCAAGTGAGAGAGGCAATATCACTTCTTAATGGCTACACCCTTCCAGGTCATGCCTGCTTACCGGCCAGACCCGGGGTGATAATCAGGGATAGTTGCTGGGAGTTGCTGGGTTGTTGTTTTTTTTTTTTTTTAAACACCCTTAGGTTCTCAGAGGACACTGAAGTCTGCATTTTGCTGTCACAAAGGGTAGAGAGCCAAAATTCCTAAATGACCTAAAGGCCAGGCCCCAGACCAGCTCCTCACCTGTTTGCTTGGATGCTCCTTCTCAAGAGGGCAATGCTTATCACAAATACCACAGCTGCCAGGGCAAGCATGGAATAATTCCAAGGAGATGCTGGGGAGAGACACACAGGACAGAACCTTAAGGAGGGGCTAGGTGCCTTTTAGGTAAGGTGACCAGATTTTAACATTGGTAAAGCGGGACACCATTGACCCAGGGAGGTGGTGGATGGGTGCAGGGGGTGTGTGGGTGTTGGTTCTTAATTAAAAATTTGGTCTATATGGAGCAACAAAAATTTTCATAGAATGCAAAAATAGTATTGTAATATATATTTTTTTAATTTCAACATAAGTACAATTTACAAATATAATACATTTTTTAAAAATTATGTATAGGAAGGAGCCTGTGGCTCAAAGGAGTAGGGCGCTGGTCCACCTGGGTGGCCTTGCCCAGGAGGGGAGTAGGGAGTTTACATTAGCCTTTTCATTTCCAAATGAAGTTACATTAACCTCTTCGTTCCCAAATGGAGTTACATTAACTTTTTCAGCAGCCGAACTGTATATTCCCTTCCCGTTGTCCCGCCCTAGCTTGTCGTGCATTCTTTCCAAAAATCGGGACTTTTTAAAATGCTGCTGGATGCAGGACAAATTGTTAGAAATCAGGACTGTCCCGCCAAAAGCGGGACATCTGGTCACCTTACTTTTAAGGCCACTAATAGTTTGGGCTTGGGCTCAGCCCCAGCTCACAGTATCAGTTATCCCTCACTGTGTAGGCCCATATCAAAGATAAGCCCCTTGCCTCTGGGGATACCCAGTCTAACAGGTGGACATGGGGAGACACAGTCTCTGCTCTAGAGAAGCCTTAAACTAATGCTGGAGACAGGACTACAGTTAAATAACTGTGGGAAAGGAGGCAGAGGGGAAGTGTGAGAGGCAAGGTGGGCCAAGATAAAGTTTATCAGCTTCACTTCTGCCAGGGGTTGGGCCTGTGCAGTATGAGGAAAAGCAGGAAGGAAGAAAAAGTGGGAAGGAGCAAAGAAGGGAGCAGGAAAGAGCAGGCTGCAGTGAAACTGGATTTAGCAACTGCCCACAGATGATGCATAAAGTGGCTGATCTGAATTTGGATATTTGTGATTTGTCCACACTACTGAAATGAAGCAGGATGCAGCTTCAAGGCTTTTACATTTGCTGTTCCCTCTGCTAGGAATGCCCTTCCCCCACATAATCTGCATGACTAATTCTTTCACTTCCTGAAAGTCAGCTTCCTTATTACTCAAATGTCACCTTCTTAGTGAGGCCTTCATTGGCCACTTTCCCTACCCTTGTGGCACACTTCCTATTCTCTTTTCTTCTGACTTATCTTTTCTATTACTTATCAACACACATTTAGTTGTTTATCTTGTTTATTTTCTATCGTTTGCACTAGAATGCATGCTCCACAAGGTAAGAGAGTTTGTGTTTTATTCACTACTGTCAACCCAGTGCTGAGAATAGGCCTGGCACACAGTAGGAGCTTAATAAGTAATTGTGACGATAAATGAGTGGCCACACTCCTCTGGGGGTTAAGGTGCTCAGCCTCGGTTCCAGTCTTGGAGGAAATGTGATGCCTGAATGGAAGAGATGACAGTTCAGGGAGTTTCAGACAAACTGCTCAGTGTTGAGAAGCACTCCCACCCTCACCATCAGTCTCCCGCCATTTACCATCTTCTACACGATAAAACCAAAGCATCTCTTCCAGCAGCTCCTGGGACACCACAGTCCCCGCTGGGGCTCCAGTAGCCCCCTCCAGATGCTCCATGTCCCGACTCCTGATTGGGGTATGCTTCTGGACACGACGTCCTCAGAGCCCTTAGCTCCAGCAGCCTTCCCGACCTCTTCTAAAAGACCCCTGCTAACAAAGCAAAGAGCATGACTAAATATAGCCCACCCCAGTTCGACCTCCCTTCAGTGCCCTGATTTCCTCTGGCTGGGAGGACCAAAATAGCCCCAATCAGGAGCAGGTGGGGTGAGGAGGGGCGAGGAGGGGCAGAGAATATAGAAGTAGGAGTGACTTAAATCTTTATTAAAATCCATCACATGCATGGAAGAGCACTGATCGAGGACTGAGGAAGACTGAGGCAGTGACGGGCTGTGGGACCCTTTCAGAGGTAGTCTCAGATTTGGACCTGCGTCGAGTGCCCACCCTTCTCGGCCCCTGGCTTGCCACTGGGTTCCTTAGCAACTTGTCCCAGCCAACGCCTTTGAGGTTCATGCGGTAGCCAATCACAGGCCTCTGTCTCCTCCACGTGCCAAAGGCTGAGCCTATCACGTCTCTTTCCTGGCGATTGACTTTCCTGCGACACTGAGCAGTAAAAGGAGGCAAATGCCGGAGAAAGGCAGCAGTCTACCTCTGATGGGGAGCGAGTCCCTTTCTTTCCCCAGGCCCTGGTGGTTAGTGCTGTCCTATTCAGCAGCCCTGAGAACTTTTTCTGGACAAGTTATCAGAGTTGGTTTTGTTGTTTGCAAAGGAAGAATGTGAACTGATGGTCCCTGGTTAAATCCTTTCCTTAATTTGAAGCAGTTTCCACCCCTACAAATAAGCCAACCTCAGTCAACCTCAAAACAGCCGCATAGTGTGACACATTCTTGTACTACCTGTACTATTCCTACTTAGGAAAATTTCTTGTATCCATATTTTAAAAAACAAAAGGATACAGGTGAAATTAATTTTGACAAGCCACTTTATCCAAAATTTTGTCATGTTAATGTGTATTCAATATAAAAATTATTGAGGTGTTTCACAGTTTTTGTATCAAGATTTTGAAATTGGGTATAAATTTTACACATGTTGTATATCTCAGTTCTAACTAGCCACATTTCAAGAGCTCAATGGCCCCATGTCTAATGGCTATTATACTGCATAGCACAGGTCTATGCCTAAGCCCAGCGCCAAGGCTTGGCAGCTGGTGCTTCTTACTGCTTTGGGCTCTTCCTATGAAGGCTGTAGATATGAGAAGTGGGCCTTGGGCTGAGAGCCAAGGAGCTAGTTCTCTGCCTTTGGGTAAATGTGTTTAGGCAAATTTCTCCCCTCTGGATCACTGCTTCCTCTGATGAACACAAGAGGAAGTAACCACAGAGGCAGAAAGCAATGAAGTAGAGGGGAAAAGTGTATAAGATGAACAACACCAAAAGCCATTTAAAAAAATATATTAATACAAAGAATTTCTGATGAGATTGATCCAGACAAAGGGAAGATCCAAAAAAAAAAAACAAACGAATTATAGAAACAAAATGATACCAGAGATTTTAGAAAGAATTATGTTTTGAGCTATGTGCTAATGAACTTGGCAAACTAGATAAAGTGGAGAAATTCCCAGAAAAACATAAAATACGAAAATTGTACAAGGAAGCAACAATAAAGTTGGAGACTGATAAATAATAAAGAAATTGAAATGATGGTTCAAGACCTCCTCTCCCAGGTCTGAATGGCTTTAATTATGAAAATTATTTTTTCTTTTCTTTTCTTTTTTTTTTTTTTTTGCAGTTTTTGGCTGGGGCTGGATTTGAACCCATCACCTCCAGTATATGGGGCTGGTGTCCTACTCCTTTGAGCCACAGGCACCACCCAATTGTGAAAGTTATTAATTTGAAAGTTATTAATTCTTACTTTAAACAAGTTATCTGCCAAAACAGATAAAAAGCATTTAACACTGGTTTCAAAACTAAATGACAACAAAACAAGGAAAGAGAACAGGTCCATTCACTTATACAAATAGGTGCAAAAATCCTAAAAAAAAAAAAAAAAAATTAGCTAATTATATTCACCAATATATTAAGAAAATAATATATCATTATGAAGTAAGTTTCATGCCAGGAATGGAAGGACAGTTTAACATTAGAAACTATATCAATATAATTCACCACAGTCCCAGGCTAAAGGAGCATGATAAAAACTCAGTAAACTAGGAATAGAAGGAACTTGCTAATACATGATAAGGGTAATATAAAAAAATCCCGTAAGAGGCTAGATGTGGTGGCTGATGGCTGTAACTCCAACATTTTTGGAGATAGAGGTGGAAGGATTATTTGAGGACAGAAGTTCACAATCAGCCTGGGCAACATAGCAAGACCCTGACTTTATAGAAAATTTTAAAAATTAGCTTGGCATGATGGCACATGCCTGTAGTTCTTGCTACTTGGAGGGCTGAGGCAGGAGGACTGCTAGATCCCAAGAATTTGAGGTTGTAGTGAGCTATAATGATGCCATTTCACTCTAACAGGGACAACAGAATGAGACCCTGTCACAAATACTACATGTGAATTATACTGATATAATAAAGGCCAAGAAGTAATGACCTTGTCACGAATAAATAGATAGCTAGGTGTGGTATACTCAGGAGGTTGAGCCAGGAGGATCCCTTGAGTCCAGAAGTTCAAGGTTACAATGAGCTATGATCAGGCCACTGTACTTCAGCATGGGTGACAGAGTGAGACTCTGTCTCAAAAAGAAAATTAAAAAAAGAAATGAAAGAGTAAACATATCCTACAGGGAGAGGGGATGATGATGATTAATCATTATCAGGTTGATTAATAGATATACAGTTCAATTTTAGAAAATGAAAAGAGTTCTATAAATGGATGGTGGCTATGGTTGTACAACAATGTGGATATACTTAATGCTAAGACATATGCTTAAAAATTGCAAAGATGATAAATTTTCTTATGTGCAATAAAAAGAAACCCTACAGCAAACATTACGTTAAATGGAGAAACTATAGATACACTTCCTTTAAGCTAAGTAACAAGACAACAATTTGGGCCAGATGTGGTGGCTCATGCCTGAAATCCTAGCACGCTGGGAAGCTGAGGTGGGTGGATTCCTTGAGGTCAGGAGTTTGAGACTAGCCTGACCAAAAGCAAGATTCTGTCTCTACTAAAAATGGAAAAAACTAGCTAGGCATTGTGGTGGGCACCTGTAGTCCCAGCTACTTGGGAGGCTGAGGCAAGATCACTCGAGCCCAAGAGTTTGAGGTTGCAGTGAGCTGTGAAACCACAGTAAAGCAACGGAATAAGACTCTGTCTCAAAAAAAAAAAAAAAAAGAAAAGAAAAAGAAAAAAAGAAACAAACAAAGGACAATAATTACGGATTAATATTGTCCTGGAGGTTCTGGAAAGTGCTATAGAGAAAGAAAAAGAAGAAAGTGTCTTTCTTAAAAGAGATAAAATTCATAATTTGCAGATGATCATTTACCTAAAAAAACTATTGAAACTAATAAACGCATTGAGGTTACTATATACAAGATCAATAGCATATCTCATATTATTAGTGGTCTGGAAATTAAATAAAAACAAGATATGATTCACAATAGCATCTAGATCAAATTTAACCAAGAATAAAAAAAAAAACACTTCTGTGGAGAAAAATTTAAAACTCTAAGACAAAAAAAAGTGATTTGAATAAATTATAAAGATTATTCTCAATTGATTATCCTCAAATCAATCTATAAATTCACTGTAATCCTAACTGAAATGCATGTTTGGAGGACCTTGATAAACTTATGCTAACATTTATATAGAAAAAAGGCATCCTCAAATAGCTCCGTCAACCTTAGGGAGAGTGGAGGAAGATAAAGAGGAGAGGTTGGCCCTGCCTACCAGATGTTGAGACACAAGAATAAAAAAATGTGATTTGGACACAAGACTAAACCATTAGACAAAAGGATCAGAATGGAGATTTGAGAGAGACCTATGTACACATGGGAACTTGATATACAATAAAGGTAGCTCTACTGACTAGTTGGGGAAGGCGGAAGTGTTTAGTAGGCGGTGTAGAGAAAACTGGCTCACCATATGGAGAAAAGTGCAGAGCTACCGAAGGGCACGTGCAAAACAGACTCCACATGGATTAAAAGCCTTAATGTAAGAAGAAAAATAGAAAGTTAATAAAAATAAATAAATAAAGTTAATAGATGCAGGGTAGGACTTCTTAAAGTCATAAAAGTCCATTCAAAAACAACAAAAAATTAAGAATTTGAATACATTAAAACTAAGGCTAGCTGTTTATGAATAAAATAGCAAACGCATTTCTGATGGAGATGTTTGCAAAGCTTAAAACCAAGATAGGAATCACATCTAGAATATACAAAGAATTCTTGCAAAACAACAAGAAAAAGGCAGGAACCCTAGTAGATAAATGGACAAAAGGATATTAACGGGCAGTTTACAAAGTAGGAAACCCAAACGATTAGCAAACACATGAAGGAATGCTCAAACTTCTTGGTAATCAGAAAAATGAAAAGTAAAACTTGACATTTATTGGCCTGGCAGCCTGAAAGCTCCATAATACTGATTGCTGGTAGAGCTCTGGCCCCATATACCAAGGGTGGTGGGTTCAAACCTGGCTCTGGCCAGCTAAAACAGCAATGACAACCACAACAACAACAAAAATGCTGGGCGTTGTGGCAGGCACTTGTAGTCCCAGCTACTCAGGAGGCTGAGGCAAGAGAATCACTTAAGCCCAAGAGTTGGTGGTTGCCAGGAGCTGTGATGCCAGGGCACTCTGCTGAAGGTGACAAAGTGAGACTGTCTCAAAAAAAAAAACCAAAAAAAAAAAACCGAATGGCAAAACACCAAACAGAAAATCAGAGTATTCGCAAAAGAACCAGATTGACATCAGAGTTTTTTCCAGCAGTAAATGCTCTGAAAAACACTGCTAGATTTTATGGGAAAATATTTTGATATAAATATAATACTGATTTAATCTTTTCATGCGTCAAGATGGAAGTCAGGAGAAAGAAAGACCCTTTTTAGGCTTTTATG